ATTACTCATACTACAGTAAAATTTACTATTTTAGATGAATTAGAGAAATGGCAAGAAGAGGCCCTAAAGCCAGAAAATGTGAAGAAAGAAGGGATGATACATTATAATGATGCTCTACTTGATGATCCGCGAGGATTAAAAGTATTCAAGAATCGGCTGTGGATTCCAAAGATTGGTGGATTGAGACAGAAGATTTTAGATGAAGCCCATAAATCTAAACTGTCAATCCATCCAGGTACAAGTAAAATGTACTATGATGTAAGAGATGATTATTGGTGGCCTGGATTAAAGAGAGACATTGGAAGATATGTACAGGAATGCTTAATATGCTTACAAGTCAAAGCAGAGCACCAAGAGCCTTATGGAACCCCGGAAAGTCTTAGTGTTCCTGTATGGAAATGGGAGTAATTGTCCATGGATTTCATTACCAAATTGCCAAAGACTGCTAGACAGCATGATAGCATTTGGGTAATTGTCGACCGCCTGACTAAAAGTGCTCATTTTCTTGCAATGCGTGAAACGGCTCCAATGGAGAAATATGCGCAAGTATACTTGGATGAAATTGTGGCAAGACATGGTGTGCCACTAAAGATCGTTTCCGATCGTGATACTCTCTACACTTCTCACTTTTGGGCAAGTATGCAACGTGAATTAGGATCTCGAGTTGCTCTCAGCACAACTTATCATCCCCAGACAGATGGTCAAACGGAAAGAACAATCCAAATAGTAGAAGATATGCTTCGTGCATGTGTCTTGGAGTTTGGTGCTAACTGGGATAAATACTTACCTCTTGTCGAATTCTCGTATAATAATAGTTACCAGGCTTCAATCAAAATGCCACCATATGAAGCATTATATGGTCGCAAGTGTCGTACTCCATTATGTTGGCGAGACATAGGACAGAAGATCCTTGGAGGCCCTGAAATGATTCAAGACACCACCGACAAGATTCAAATTGTACGAGAAAGAATGAAAGCGGCCTAGGATTGACAGAAGTCCTATACAGAAAAGAGAAGACGACCCATAGAATTCCAAGTGGGTGATTTCGTGATGTTGAAGGTATCTCCATGGAAAGGCCTTATGAGATTTGGGAAGAAAGAAAAGTTGAGTCCCAGATTTGTTGGTCCTTTCAAAATCATCCAAAGAATTAGAAAGCAAGCATACCGCTTAGAATTGCCTGAAGATTTGGCATGTATTCATGATGTATTTCATGTGAGCTATCTGCACAAATGCTTGAGCATCAATGATGAGACAGTTCCATTATCCGAACTGAAATTGGATAATAAGTTAAGATATGTAGAAGAGCCGTAAGAGATCGTGAATGAAAGAACAACTAATCTACGTAATAAAGAAGTAGAGTTGGTTCTTGTCAAGTGGAAACACCATCGAGGCCCAAATTATACTTGGGAAAATAAGAATGAGATAAGAGCAAAGTATCCCAATTTATTTTAATTGATGTAATTTCGGGGATGAAATCCTCAAAAGGAGGAGGTATTTGTAACATACACGTTTTGAAATCGTGTTATAAGTAAATAATATTATGAAATATTATGTGAATTTGAATGTTGAGTTCTAACAGATAGTTTTTTACTAGAAATGAAGTAAAACTATGTTTAGAATCACTCATAAAATGTTGGAAGTCTTATGAGATTCCAATTAAAAATCAAATAGTGAAATATAGTGAAAATATAAAATTTGGAATAAGTAAAATTTTATTATTGAAAGTTGTCGATAATCTCGTTAGAAACATTTGGGCGAAAACCTCATCGAAATCCGAGTTATAATAAAGAAGTTATGACCAAACGAAGATCCTTGATAAATCCGGAAAATACTTTGTCGCGTAAAAATTTAGTTTTCGATAAACTAATTTTTAGCCTTAGTGATGTAAATAAAAGTTTTAGAACTCGTGAAAATAATCAATTTTATATAAAGACCGTTTGAATCTGACTTTGTATGAGGAAGTTATGATTTTTCGAAGTTTCAGCTTAGTAGTAGACAGCTAAAAACCCGAATTTTAGATCGAGTGATTTTTAGCTGACACAACCTAAACGAGAATTGAAGGTCTCGTCATTAGTAGTGCAACGGTAAAAAGTCTGACAAAAACGGACATCGGATGAAGAAGTTATGAATTTTTAACGGATTTTCCTGTCCCGGTCTTTTAAAAATAATAATATTAAAATTAAAGTCAAAATTAGCCGACGAAGTCTAAACGAAAGTTGTAGAGCGTAAGTTTAGCTATGCGTGCATATAAAGAACGTCAAAAACGGAGCTCGTATGCGAAAGTTATGGAGTTTAGAAGTTTTGGCGCGAAAACCGAGAAATTTCGCATAGGTGGCTTCGTCCAAGTCACCCTCGCTTAGAAGATGTCACGTATCCGAAATTGGTGAGTCACCGAAGCCAGCTGGCGAGACGTGTCGCCTGCCCTCGCATCCGAAGTCCGGTCCGCTAAGAATCCGATGCGTGCCATTTATCACGTGTGCAAGCCTCGCATGGGTGCCACGTCCGAAGCCTCGGACTAGACCTTGGTCTAATCAGAAGCCAACACCGAGCCCCTCGCATGCGCAACCCACGTGCGAGCCACCTGCGCACCCTCGCCCTGCTGATGCCGCGTGTCCTCGCTGCTGACTCCCCTTCCTTAGCCGACTTCGGACCTCCCTATAAATACAAGGGGCTGCGAGACCTCTCGGGTAATTTTGGAAAATTGCCACTTTCACCCCTTTTTTTGATATTTTTACTATTCCGACTTCCCCCGAAGCCCCGGTACTGATTCCAAAGCCCGAAACACGCCCCGAGACTCCCGAGAAACCCGAAAAATTTATCTTTTCGGTTTCGAAGCTCTACCTTCGCAAAGCCCGATTTTCAAGAAAACTCCCGGTTTTCAACGACGAAAGTCGTATTTAGAGCCGAAGGACTGCCCAAAATAATATTTTAGCCCCCGGTTATTTCACGGTGAGTTTAATATATAGAAATAATTGTATGTTATGTGTTATATGTGCTACGTGCTTTTCAGTGTTATTATTCTGGGTTATTTTCCCAAGTTATTTTGATTTGCTATTTTTAATAGCAAAGAAGTACCTTTGACCATGTGATCAGTGAAAGCACTTAGATTCACGTTGGTATTGGTATGTAGCCTCAGGCCATGTGGAACATGTCTCCGTAAGAGAATGAATTCTATTCTATGGTAGTGGCAGAAGGTTAGACAGGGCTATAAGCCTGAAATCTACCGAAATGTTAATCCGAAGTTGTATATCTTTTGTGCCGTTTGGGCCAAAGCTTTATTGATGTATATCAAGCATGGAAATTGTTATGTCTCATTGATTGTATATCTTTAAATCAAATCAACCATTGATATGGAATGTTTGTCACATGATTCACATATGCCCTTGTTGTTCCTTGTTCCTCTTTGCTTCTGCCCTATTAAAGTATATATATGGCATAATGTTATATTGTATCTATTTTTGAACTCACTAAGCATCACCGATTACCCTGTCGATGTTTAACAAATTGCAGGAGATAAACATCCTGTATAGTTATATACTGGTAGAAGATTCTTGAATAGTTTGAAACTATTGTATCGATAGAAGCTTATGAATAGTTTGAAACTATTGTATTTTGCACTCCCATATGTATAAAACTATAGAATCCTGGGAAGTTATGTAATATATAACACTTTACAATAGTCGGTTTCTATCCAGTAGTTTGTAATCCCTTTATCAATGTAAACTATTGGTTTTATGAATATGCAAGTAGCATGTTTTGGAGTAATGATAATGTGAATTATGAAAGTTTGGGTCTTTCATAAATACGAAAGTTAGATAAGTGGGTTAGATCTGATCCCACATTGGCTGGGAAGGAGAACTAAGCATTCCTTACAAGGGGTGTGGATACCTTTTCTATCGCAACGCGTTTTAAAGTCGTGAGGGCAGCAAATCCCATAAGAACTCTGGAGTTAAGCATGCTCGGGCGGGAGTAGTACCAGGATGGGTGACCCCCTGGGAAGTCCTCGTGCCGAGTGGCCCAAAGCGGACAATATGTGATACGTGCCAGAGGGGGATGTTACATATTCCATGGACGGAGTGGAATAAAAATGATTGTCAGGCAAAAAGAAGCAACATTTTTTGAAAATTCGCACTAGCCCTTTCAAGTATCTGGAACGTCATACTCCAGTTGTCCTTCCAAATTCATCCCAGTTTCATCTTGTCAAGATCTTTCGGAGGCTCCTTACATAGCACTGTAGGTTTCTTTCGAAGAACAATCTTAATTTCCACATCCATCTTACCAACTTCTTGGATGTAAGAAACCAACATTCTTTGAGATGTGCAACAATAGGTTCAAATTTCCATTCATCCTTTAGTAAAAGATGCAACAGAGAAATCCATTCGGATGGGTTAAGGTAAGGCAAGTCAACGAGAGTAAATTCAAACACAGAACTCGCAGCCCCACGAGCAACCTTGAAATGAGCATTGATAAACTCTCGGTTTCAATTGGTACTAAACTTTGATAGTAGTAATCTTCTTTGAGCTCCAAGTTTGGTAACGAGGCTTCATGTGCTTGAGATATAATGAGAAAAGCACATGATCAACATCATGGTCCGGAAGAGGAGCGTTCGCAATTTTATCAAAGCTACGAAACTGAGAGGCCTTCAGAGTGAATGGAAGATCAAGCTGCGAATCCATTGAGTTCTCCAAATCAAACAATACTACAGGCTCAAGCCAGTAAACATTTGGATTATCAAAGGCTTCATTCAGAATACACTCCATAGACCAGGTAGGAAAAAGAAGCCTTTGAGTTTCTAGGGTCACTTGGGCTTCATGGGCTTCCCTTTGTCGAGCTTTGGCTTCCTTGGCAATTCACATATTTTCATCCATCTCTGCATCACTAGACTTGCATTTAAGCTCTGATCCTTCATCCTCTTCATCTTTATCATCACCATCAATTAACTTATCTTTACCTTTTGATCCAAAAGCTACATTAACCTTTGGATCTTTTGACTTGGGTTTCTATTCGTGCTCATCAGAGCCACCAACTGGTTTCTTAATTTCTTCACCAGATACCTTCTTTGCTTCTCCGCATTGTTTCGAAAGAGTACCAAATTTCGAAACACCATCTATCAGATCAAGCATATAGAATATTGGTTGAAGTTTGTTAACCAAATGTTGTCGAACAGAGACTGTGAGCATAGAATCATGAGTCTTGATGAGATTATGCAAAAACTTATTAACATCAATGACAACACTTTTGACCACAACTTTATCAGGCATAAGCTCTTGAATCTTTGTGTTGGCATGAGAGAGGTGGGTTGAAACAACTTGCACTTTTTCAGTTTTGATGGCAAGTGTATCCATGAGAGCGTTCTCAGTAGCAAGGTCTGCTTGAAGCTTTTCAATCATGGAAGTGATCGACGTTTGCAGCTCTATATTACCAGCCTGGATACCAGGAGAACATTGGAAAGAGCTTATTTCTTGGTTTGGAGTGTAGAGCCAAGATTCGTAATTACGTTGTTTGCAGAAGCTATGTTTCGTTCCGAAGAAGTTTAGAAGACTTCCATAAACTGTTTAACATTAGAAAGTAGTTTATCGACTTTTTCGGTCATTTCACGAACAATCTTTTCAGAGTGCTTAATGGCTTTTGTCGATGTTTCAAGATTCTCAACATGCTCCTTGGTGAGAGTTTCAAACAAAGCTTTGTAAGACGGTGTCAAATAAAGCTTTGTAAGACGCATGGGAATATTCACTGCTGGTCGAATATTTGGAATACACAAGGAGAGTATCCAACTTATCATTGAGGGATTTGAATTACCCCTTCATCATCGGTGCGTCTTCGTCATCACTAGACGGTTGGACGTTGAAAGGGATATAGTGGAAGTCCTAGATATAATCCTGATCATCAGCAAACACCGTATCAGAATCACCAGTTCTTAGAGGTGAGATGGGAGAGAAATCGGGACCAACAGTAACACCAGAAGCACCTGCCCCCGTATCAGATATGTTGACAGTTATTGGCGGTGTACTAATGGTTGTGGCGGTTGTTGTTGTAGAATCTGTGAAAAAGGAGTTGGTTGAGGAACTATGACTTATCAATGCGAAACACTAACAAAGATTTTTGGATATGGAGCAATGGTAGTTGGAGTGGTGGTTTGCGTAGGGGTGTGATTCGAAGAAAATGGAGGAGTGAAGCCCTAAAAGAAATCTTCTGATAATGGAATAGAGGTGTGCATTGAGCAAGTTACCTATGGAGTGGGGTTAGCAGAAGATGGTTCCGAGACCATTGGTTGCGAAGTCGCAACTGTGTCTTCAGTTTCGCGTTGGACTTGCTCTGTTCGCTGAATTTCAGAAATTGTATGATAATCCGAATCCTCAGCAGCAACAGGAGTAGGAGACCTTGTCTTGTGAGCCGGTTTCTTTACTTTCTTCCTCGTAACTTGAGCTGGTTTGGAAGGTCCAACTATCGCTTTTCTCTTACCTCCTATTTTAGTCTTTTTTGCTTCCTCCAAAGCCTTTTTCATCTCTGGTGTTAATGGGAGAGGACCGGACATAGGTTTCTTTCTGTATTCTTTAATAATCACATTGTCGATAGGAACATTGAGAAGCATGGAAGTTATCTAATAAAGGTGAACTTTGTTGGATCGGACACGATGATGTTCAAAGTGTGATAGAGCAGAATACCTATGACGATACACCCTTAAGTTATCGAAATGTTGAGCTTAGAGATTGCTCTGTGGACGATGACGCACCAAAACCAAGCACACGAAATCTCCGAGTGTCGAGTTGTGGAAAGTTTTGAGTATTTGAGATATTGAAACTGATTTGGCATGTTTGGTTATTTAGGGAAGCCTTTTTAGGGTAATCGTTTTGTGATTTCCTATGGTGCCTTTAAAGTATAAGTTCTTCATCGAGCTCTTCTAAGGCATTGGTTTTATATTTTTGGTAAATATTTTATGTTCCCTATAAATAATCATTAGGTTAGCTTTTGATGAAAGCTTTTTCTGATTAGGGTTTTCTCTATACATTCAGATCCATATCAATATACACAAAACCTTTATCAGATTACTTGCATATTGTGGTGATTGATTCTTGATTGTTCTTGATATCTTGTTTATGGTGATATTTTATCATGAATCTCACCTTGTTCTTCAAGTTTGTAAGTTTTCTGAAAAGAAAAATTCTAATACCTCGTTTTATTGCAAAATCTTATTAGAATATGCTATCTTCTACTCATTATTTCATCTGATTTGTTCTTGAATTGTGATCTGGAAGAGAATTAGAAGAAAATTCCCGTGTTTATTCGAATTTTTGTGTTCAGATCTACTTGATCTCTCTAAAATTTGTCTCATCTCTATTTTCTCTCTCTAGAAACCATCTCATATCTGTTTTTTCTCTCTCTCTCTCACTCACTCTCTCTCTCTCTCTCTCTCTCTCTTCAAGTTTAGTGTCTTGTTGAAGATCTAATGGATGAAACGAATTTATTGTTTGACTCTATTTTAGAATTTGGATTAAAGTTTACTAAACCAATCTATGGTGTTGACAAAGTGATTATGCTTCATATTATTGGTAAATATATGTTGAAGGATGTTACTGACTTGTATAATCTTATTGTTGATAAGAAAATATCTAAAGACTCACGTGTTAATGATCGTGAAATACAAAAGATGAGAGATTAGTAGAACAATTTCCTATTATCCATAGACATTTAGATCGAGAAAATAACAAATTCTGGAGATGAAAAGAGTTAACAAGAAAAAGGAAGATATTGTTGATGTTCTTGGTGAAGTTAATAATGTTCCTCATGTTTATGAAGAAATGATGAGTCCAGATGTTCTGAGTCAAGTGGTTCATGTTTTCAGAAGTGTTACATTCCGAATCTGGTACTTCAGAAGACGTATCTCAAAGAAATTCATCTAAAATCGTGAAAGTGAAAAAGTTTTGTTCGATTGTAACTCAAACCGATGACTTTTTATGTTCTGATGATGTTTTTGAAGGAATGATTCCTTAAAGTCAATACTTCAAGATGTTTATATTTATCAAACTCCAAAATTTGTGTGCCAAAAGTTTCTGATGTTCAGATTCAGAAAGATGAAGAGGTTGTTCAGATCCAAAATTCATTTATGAAGCCTAGAAATCAGAAAGAAGAAGAAGAACAACAAGAACAAGAACAAGAACAAGAAGAACAAGAGAAGAACAAGAACAAGAAGAACAAGAAGAAGAACAAGAAGAACAAGAACAAGAACAAGAGTAAAATAAAGAAGGTTTGGATGACTAAGGTATAAGTACCTATTGCATGTGAAAAGGTTAAGAAAGTTGAATTCAAACATGTTCAAAGAAACTTCAATTCTTATTTTTCCTTATATAAAGATGTTAGAAGTTTGAAAAAAGAGAAAAGAGTATTTGGTTGGGTTAATGAAATTTATGGAAAATTTTGTTTTCCAACTAAAAACGGGTATTATTTTCAGAAGACGATCGATTTTCTTCAAATAAATGGATGTGCAAAAACCCAACTTCAATCTTGAATCTTAAATGGGTACCAAAAGTTTCATAAAAGTTTTTTCCTTTATAAAAAAAATATGGTGAAAGCTGACGAATTTTGAGTTAAAAGGATGAAATCTTGTTGAAGGAACAAATTTTTATTGATTTTTAATGGTTGGAAATGACAAAAGCTGAAAAACTTGAAAAAGTAGGTGAAAATTAACATTTTCTGCAAAAGGAGGGTATCAATCTGACATTACAGCAAAAAGTGCGTTGAAACTGTCAGTGTACTGCAAACAGAGGGTCAGATTCGAAATTATTGCCAATAAGATGTCACTTTCAGAATTTGGGTAAAAACTGCGAGTTTATTCAAACTTTAAGGGTTACTTTCGAAATTATACACAAAATCAATTAGTTTCGTCACTTTGGGTGACATATGCCATTTCCTTGAAACTTAAAGGCTACATTTTGGAATTGTAGATCAGATCACGTTCAAAAATCATTTGCAGACAAGATTGGCATCAGTATTTCTCAAGGAAATATATAGGAGTTCGTTCATAGTTTCGGCACTTTGTTTAATTCAGAAACCGACATCTTTAATCGGAAGTTCAACATCAAAAACAAAAGCGATTGGAATAAAATATTCTCACTGCGAAGGGTTCGGATTTCACTGTTCAACTCCGAGCGCTCGGAGGCGTTTGGAGTTCTAGGCTCGGAAGGAATCGGCTTCGCAACTACAACACTTTCGGGATTGGAGTTTATGCGTTCGGAGGTTGCAATCGATTCGCAATCGGTGTTTCTGTCTCAAAATTCAAATTGCATTCGGAGTTCTGGGATTAAAAACTGCATTCGGAGTTGATCATCAGAGGGGCTAAAGATTCGAAATCGATTCGGAATCGGAGTTTACAGGCATCGGACGTTTGAAATTGAAATTCATTGATCGGAATTTCATGATTATCTGGTTTCTGAAACCAAAATCGGAAGTTTCAATAGGAATAAATTTTGATTTGATTTCGGAATTTGATCTCGGAATTATATCACGAGTTTTCTGGTCTTCATATCTCGTCGTTATTATTAATGGTAATCGGAACCAACGGCATTGAAGATTGGTTTCATTTTACAAGCTTTTCTGGATCGGAAATTTTCTTTCACGTATTTGATTCTGACTTTACAAAGTCAAAGAATGTGTTGATCTCCGTTCATATGAAGATCGTGGCTTTCTTTCAAGATTCAGCCCTCAGAGTTCGGGCAACCTAACAATTTCAACCCAAATTTTTAGATTCCTTTAGAATTTCTTGGATTTTACCACTTTTAACTCTGCTTTCCAAATATTTTCACTTCTTATCATTTTCTTTGGTCTAAATCTTTTCAAACTCTTCTAAATAATTGTTTCTTATTCTATTCTTTTTGTCTAATATTTAAAAATCGAAAAATACAAAATTAATTTATGTTATTTTTCCGGTTTTAATTTTTGAGATTACGAATATTCTAAAAAAAATTATTTCATCAAATCCAACAGGTTTTGAAGATCTATTTTGGCAAAATCGACAGAGCAGGTTTTACGACTTATTCTATGAGATAACAAAGATTGTTGGTGATTCTTATTAATTTTTCAGATTCTCTCTATGGTATTTTTTGAAGATTGAAGGGGGTGATGATTATTCAAGGGGGAATTTGTATCTGGAAGATGATATTTGTTTCTCTCTCTTTGAAGACCCCATGTACTGATGTTTCTCACAATTAGGGGGAGAAATGCCAAGAAGATCAAAAATCGTGATCTTCATCAGTTTTATCATCTAGGAGGAAATTGTTGAGTATTTGAGATATTGAAACTGATTTGGCATGTTTGGTTATTTAGCCTTTTTGGGGTTAATTGTTTTCTGATTCCCTACGGTGCCTTTACAGTAGAAGTTCTTTAAAGAGCTCTT